CCTCCCCTCAAGGAGCTGGAACCTGAGGGGGCCTACTACTCATTAGTGAGGACGTAGGTTAGTGAGCATTAAGTGTCTTTCAGCTCTGACATTCAGTGGCTAAAAGGGACCAAGAAGGGCAGCCTGGCTGGGGGCCATCACGTGTCCACCGGGGCATTTGGGGGCCATTCCTGTCTGTCTGGACAGGGCTAAAGAAAGGCTGCTGGGGACACGTGCCAGTGAGGCCATGGAGCTGGACTTCGGCTTTCCTCTGCAGGCACAGATGGTGACCATGCTTTACTGGAGGGCCGAAGTGGTGGCAGACAAATGCTGGCCCTGCCTGGCTGCTGCAACCCCTGCTGGGACGCTGTCGGTGGTGAGCTGGGCCTCAGCGGCCACCACTATTTGTGCAAAAACCAAAAAATCTTGAAAATATTTTCAGTCCATTTGCACTTATCAAATATCACTGGGAACCCCAACAATTTGCCTAGGATCCCTTCCAGAATGAGGGGGATTTCACAAACTTGGCCTTGCGCAGGGTGAGTTTCTGGGAATTTCAGCTTTGGAGTGGGCCTGGCTTCCTTGCTCTGGCTCACCCCGCCTTCTCACGTGGCTCCTGCCCCTCCCCAGCACACCTGGCCATGCTGTGCACACGGCCGCTCTCAAGGCAGACTCTCCAGCGACAAGATGTCTGCATTCCTCTGGCTCTTCAGTTTCCCCTTCCCGCTTTTGGTAGCTTCATGGCACTCAGCAACCAGCAAACTGGCAGTCTAAGAATTGCAAAGTTCAAGCCCTGAGGCCACAGTGGCCCCCGCTGTGGTTTTTCTGAAGCTCCATTTCATTTGGGCTAGAGGTGAGCCCTTCCCTCCCAAGACCCTGGCAGGCGGGGTCTGAAGCAAAGTTCAAGGAACAGTCGCTTCTACCCTGGCTGGGTGTTGTTACTCTGGCCTGGATGCAGCCTGACAGCACACTGACAGGCGGCCTGGATCGGCCCATAGGGCTGGGGCCTAAAGGAGCGGAGGCAAGACACGGTGTACTGGAGTTCCCAACGGTTTAACAGCAGCTGCGATCATTAACTCCCTGAATGCTTTTATTCAAAGTTCCATGTTAGCTGACACTTGAATATAATTAAAACAGAACAACCATTTGCAGTTAACTTTACCTTTTATGACCTCACAGATTTTTACAAGGTTGTCCCAGAATGCCTTCTTTTCAAAGGGAAGCCAAGAGGTATGCTAAGGGCCTAAAGAATAGCAGAGTGCAGCATCCCCAAATCTCAGACTCATACATGAAAAGATGAAAGAAAAAAGCATGTACTGTTTATTACAGTTATAAAAGTAACACTCATAGAGGATAATTTGGAAGACACAGCAAAGTACAAAAAATCAAAATAGAAGCCCCCTAACCCTCCAGTCCCGCCTGTAGAGACCACTGCCCTTGCTGTGGGGGATATATATCCTTCCTGAGTACGAAAATACCACTTAACATCTGTACCTTGAAAATAACAGTGGAAATAGACTTTGATACTACATTCCTGAATTTCATAAACGAGGCCCTAAAATCAGTTATACTTCAAGTGACTTTGACATAGGGTTCAATAAAAAGAATCTTATCGATTAATCCACAAGCAACTGAGGGCCTGCTTTGCATAACACACTCCATTAGGTACTGTGGGGGATTAGACATCTGCAGCATGACCCTGGCCTCAAGAAGGTAGAGGGAGAAGACAGATAACACATGGGTGGCTTTTGATATCTGTATTCTAAGCTTCTAGCAAAGCTCACTATTGGGCTCCCAAAATGGTTTGCTTGTGGAACTGAGTGGTGCCCGTCACAAAGGCTACTTGTGTTTATTCATTCAACAAATATTTACCTCCTGCCTGCTATGCACTGGGGGAAAGGTGTTTAGGGTTTGCAGCAGGGAACCATTGTGATGAGAGTGACATTTTAGGAGATTTATGTGAGCCCTGGCTTACAAGATGGATGGGATAGGGTGATGGTTAATTTTATGTGTCAACTTAAAACCAGGCCATGGTACCCAGATATTTGGTGACACATCAGCCTAGACATTGCTGTGAGATATTTATTTACTTTTAGATGAGATTAACATTTAAATCAGTAGACTCTGAATAGAGCAGATGACCTTCCATTGTGTGGGTAGCCCTCACCCAGTCAGTTGTAGCCTTAAAATCAAAAGACTAGAGTATCCTGAGGACTAAGGGATTATGCCTCCAGACTGCTTTCAGACCTGAGATGCAGACTTTAGAATTGCCAGCCCCTAAAATTGTGTGAATCAATTCTTTAAAAATCTCTTTCTATTTTATATATGTATATATATATATATATCTGTATACATAATTTTATAGCTTTCATCTATTATCAATCTATGTAATCTATTTATCATCTATCATCTATCATCTATCTATTATCTATCATCTATCTATCATCTATCTATATCTATCTATCATCATCTCTATCTATCTACCTACCTATCTACCTATCGATCTATTTATCTATCTATCATCTATCTATCTATATCTATCATCTATCTATCTATCTATCTATCTATCTATCTATCTATCTATCTATCTATCTATCTATCTATCTATCTATCTGTCTATCTATATCATCTATCATCTATCTACCTAATCTCTTACTGGTTCTGTTTCTCAGAAGAACCCTAAGAAGATGGGAAAGGAGAAAGGCAGGAATAAGGAGAACTGGCTACTCAGAAGGGGTGAGGGAGATCAGTTCTGTGTCCATGTTATGTCTACATGTGTATCTGGATGTGCGTGCCTCTGCACGTGCTAGTATGTGTTTGTACGTCTAGGTGAGTGTTTACGTCTCTGCCTGTATCTGAGTATCTGTGCATTCGTGTATGTCCATGTGAATATATGTGTATCTGTGTATATGAGTCCATATGTACATGTGCACGTGTATACATGTGTCTGGGTGTGCCTATGTATGTATCTGGATTTATGAGTCTGTGTGTACCTGTATCTGTTTGTATGTTTGTGAGCCTCTGTGTGTGTCTGTCTACACTCATATATATGTGTGTCTATATGTCTATGTCTGTCAGGGGGATACAGGCTGGGGCTGGCTCTGTCATACACTCTAGGAAAGACCTCTGTTGCTAGATTTTTCAGTCAGTTCAAGTGTCTTTCTGGGAGTAAGAGTGCAAGCTGGGTCTGGGAGCCAGGCAAGAAGGTGGACCAACAGGAAAGCAGGTCCCTGGTGTCTGGAGCTGGAGTGGCCCACAGCTGACTATGTTTGGGAACAGGACAGCCAGAGGACAGAGGACGAGGGGGTACAAAGAGGTCTGCGGGGGCAGCTTAGTACCTACACACATCACACTTGCCGTGAGTCTGGAGGTCTCACCACCTAGGCACAGGTTTTTGCAAGGACCAAGAAGGTTGGGGCAATAAGAGCCAACACTCAGGGGTGGCAGTGGAGAGGGCCATCTGGAAACCAGTGTAGGGAATTTGTTAGGGAATGATGATGACTTCAGTTTAGACCTGTTGAGAAAACCACAGAATAAGACTTGCAAGGGTGAGGAGGGGGTAGTGACCAGGATCATGTTCTGAAAGGGACAAGGAGAATGAGGAATGAGAAAAAGCCACCGGGTTTGAAGTCAGATGGTCTTGGTCACCTCAGCAGAGGGCACAGAGCTGGTTTAAGGGAAGGAGGCAGTGGGTAATTGTGATAGGAGAGTCACACCTATTAGACCATTACATAAGGAAATGAAAGAAAAACCAAGATAATAACATGAGTGGACAGTGGAGTTGAATGATGGCAGCCCTATGCATATTTGAATAAAGAATGAAGCTCAATAATCAAGATATTTAGCCCTGATCCTATTAAGTACTTCCTCCGACAGTTAGCAAACTTTATCCTTTAATCATTCCTTATATTTATAAAGGCCTTTCTCCAAAGAATTCCAAGTACTCAATAGACATTAATTAATTCACTTGTGCAGGCTCCTCTAGGGAAAAGCTGGTGGCAGGTATCATCTTTATGCTTATGGGCATGGATATGTGGCCGCCATGAGAATGACTTTGCCAACCAGGGTCACAAAGCTAGTTGGGGTGGGAAGCATCATGCCTGCTTCACCCCCATCTGCTGCTAGGCCATTCCTCAGTCACCCGCATTTTTCCATGATCCCCATATTACTGGCAACACTTGGCTATGAAACTAACTACAGGGTTCAATGCCTGAGGGAGGCTGGCTTCAGGATCACCCTGGGGGGATTCTGGGCCAGCCAGCTGTGGGTCTCGGGGAATAGATCTTTTGTTTTTCAGTCCTGGACCACAAGGGGCCCTAAGCAACTTACCCTATTGTCAAAGATCCCGAGCAAATGCTGAGTTGAAGCCACAACAAAGTTCCAAACTCAAGAAAGCACATATTCCATTTGTGTTCCCTCACACAAGAAATTCTCTAGTGCCGTCAAGTAGAGAAATACCACAATCTTTACACTTCAGGCTGAGCAAGATCTGACCATTTGCTCAGAAGCAAAATCATCTCTAAAGGCAAAAAATAATCAGGAACAGCCCACTAAGAAGATGATTTGGTCGCATCTGGGGCTGAGCTTGGGCTTTATCGGGCCAGGAAAATAAGGGAATCCCAAAGATCCCAATGGTGCTGGTTTGCTCAAGCCCCCAGCTGTGGCCCCAAAGGGTGCAGATGTAGGAATCATTAACGTCAAGTCACATTGTGCTTCTAGCATTGGGCCTGCCACCACTTGCTGAGCCCTGTGAGCTGGTGATACTCAAGCTCTTTGGCTGATGAGGACTGACTCTCGCAGGATCAGCTGAGTGGTTCACATTCCGAGTCCAGTGCTTATGCCACTTGGCTAGAGCTGGGACATTCAAGGGGCCACTGGCATGTTGGCCCAAAGCCAGCATTTAATTAAGCCCTAAATCTCCAGTGGTTCCACCAGGGACTTGATTCCCATGAGGCCAGCTGAAGGGAGAACATCCCAAAGAACATTGAATCGGCTTCTTTTGGATCTTCCCCTCGACCTACCGTTCGCGGAGAGGCCTTGCTTGTTAGTGCGCTTAATCCCCTCAGTCACAGAGCAGCACACAGACAACCAGAGGGCTGGCTGGACCGGAGCAGCTCAGCTATGGTGCCTAGCACGGCATGGAGGTCCTTCCCATATGCGCCTGCTGTCATGGAACATGGATGTCTGTGAGGAAAGAGAGGAGAGATTAGCACCATAACACTTTCAGTTGGGGGTTTCTGATGAAGAATTCTTGGTGTTTGGTTAGAAACTACCCAAGATATGTCTTGTTCAGGACACATTACGTTTAGGGCTGACTGTTTGAATTGGGAGACCCAGACGCCTGAGCTACAGGGATAGAGGCCTGGGACCTGCAGCCAAGGCCTGATTTCCGGGGACTAGCAGACCTCTGGGAAGGGAGAAGCTGATGTGAAGTGCTTCTGAGTGGAGGAAGGACCTGGAATTTTCAGGGAATTTCTCTCTTCTTCTTCATGTCCCCATTCCTCTTTCACAGCCTTGGAGCAGAGAAATTCCACCCTTTTACACTGAAGGTGAAGAGGGTCAACACCAGGATGGGCAATCATGGCACAGATCCGCCTCATGCCTGGGTGGCCAGTGGTGAGAATAACATCTCCACAGAGCCGATCCACAAAGGACACAGGTACAAGTTCACACAGGGGACACTGGTCAGGTGGAAGGCTGTGGGAAGAGAACCATAAAATCTTGTCTTTCTCTAACTTACTGTTTCCATTTGAGGAGTTTAAGGGGTAAGCCCTGGGCCCGAGTCAGGTGGCCTGAGTTTGCACCCTGGAAAGCGCCTCCTGGAAACCTGATACCGCCCCATTTGGGAGCCTACTAGTCCCACGGTTCCTGTACCTGTACTAAGGCCAGTGCCTCTCCCAATAGGGCAGGGCCCGGTTTCTGCCGCCTGCCGTCTCCCTATGCTGCAGCTCGGGAGGTAGCGAGCATGCTAGCCTCCTGGGTGTGTCTGTGAAACGAGTTATGAGTTATGGTGTGAGCGTAGCGTCGGGCGCTCAGTAAGCTTACATGTTAGTCCTGCTACTGCACCCGTGCCATCATCAGCACCATCAACGTCGTCGTCCTCAGCCTGGAATTGGCTGGATGTGGAGATTTGCCTGCACTGCCACAGCTCCTGGCAGCCTCCCTGTGTTCAGTGAGTGTGGGAACAGGGAATTGGCCTGTGTCCGACGGTCAGCATGGCAGTGGGTCACAAAGCAGCAGCCAAGGGAGCCACCGGCAGGTTCAGATAGGGTGCTGGAGATGAAAGCCGCGTCTGCCTTCCCAAAGGGCCGCTGTGCTCCTGAAGGCCTGCAGCTTCCTCTGCCCCGCTGGAGCTTTTTTCTTCCCAGTTCCTCTCAGTGATATCTTAAGCGGCAAACTTCCAGCACTAACAGGAGGTCTTTTGTTCGCCTTTTCTCCAAGTGGACTTTAACCCAGTTACGACAGATGAATCATTGTAAAAACAAACAAACAATAATACTCCATTTTCTTAAAGGCTCTTCCATGCCTGCTGCCAGAAAAGGGGGAACCTGACACTGCACTGGGCCTGTGGGGCTTCTCTTCGCTGTGATCTTCTAGAGGTTCAGCCCAGGAGAACCTTCCAGAACACACTGGAGCCCAGCGCTGTGGAACTGTTCAGTGAGGCTCTGGCTTGTTTAAGATGTCATCTGATTTGGGTGGCCTGGGGGCTCTAAAGAATTTTGGATTCAGAGCAGTTCCGGTTGGGATTTACACTCCTAGATCTACCACAAATGAAATTCTGGACTTGCCTCCCTTCACACTTAAGTTTCTTTATATGTGAAACATGGGTAGTAGACACTCTATGATTTTATCAGGAAGGACTTTACATAGAATATCTTCTGCTCTGTTAGAAGGCTCCAGGGCATGCTCAGAGTACAGTGCAGTCTGCATCCATTCAGTAAAAGCTCACCAGACACTTAGTTAGGCAGAGGTTTACGGAGATGAGAAAGCCCTCCTTCCTGCCCTGAGGGAGATAAACATGTAAATGAATGAGTGAAGTGACTTCTGATACAGGGAAGACGGGACATGTGCCAAGGATGGAGGTGTGGTGAGAAAGGGGGTGGCCATTCCATCCAGGAATGTTGGGAAAGTCTTCTTCATGGAAATGGTGTTTGAGCTGAGTCTTGAACCAGGTGGAGACGTTCATCAGATGCTTGGGAGAGGGGGTTGATATGGCAGGTGGAGGGAGCAGGGGTAGGGCTGGGGCATAGCTGAAAGACCCGTAGCATTTGGACCCGCCCTGTACAAGTCCTCTCCAGTTTTAGTCCAGGCATCCTTGCTGACATGCTTAAGTACAGCAGGACCCTCATTTTCTGAAAAGGAGCCGACTCTGGATGAACCCACCACTGGTTTCAAGACTCTGGTCCAAGATGTTTTCTGGCTGCATCAAAGAGTAAGGCTTGCTTTTGGCCACTAGCCTCCTGGGCTCATTGCTGAAGAGCACAGCCATGGCTCCTGATGGATGATGGAGTTCATGTTCTCCAGAAGGTTGTCACCCACTGTGTCCTGATGCCCTAGAGCTCAGATGCACAGTGAAACACACTCATGGCTACAGTGAAAGCATCAGTCCAATTGCCTGGAAAGCTCCTACTCATTGTTAACCCCAACTCACAAGTCTCCTTACCATGAAGAGCTCCCAGAAGCCACGAGTAGAGTTAATGGTACCCTTTGTGCTCCTATGGCTTCTTCTTACCTTGGCTTTAGGCTCTAACCATAATCTATTATAATTTCTCAATTTCCCTGAGTGCCCTTCTCCAGGGTCTGAGCTCCTGGAAGGGATGGCAGGTAATGCACAGTATTTGGTTTGTGTACGTACAAGGTGTTTGTGAAATGGACACATGAAAGAATGACTGAGGTTTGAGTTGGTGTGTTTTGTATAACCTGACAATGATAACAGTGGGAACTTCACCTTCATCACCCTTGGTAATACAATGGCAGGGCCTAAGGATTTCCTACTGATAGCATCACTTTGTGCATAAATAGACCTCTCTTCTCCAGAAGCTACTTGCAGAGTTGAGACTGAAAGTCAGATTGAGCCTGCCATGGGGTATAGGGGACCCTCGTCTCTTTTTTCAAGCTGATTTCCCTGCTTTAGCAAATCCTTGGGAACTGAAACAGTGAAGATCCTCCATTTAATCTGTTGAGTTCCCACCCCCTGAAATACAGTTCTTTACATTCTGTCAGTCATCTAAAAGTGGACATCTCCCCATCTTGTGATCCAGCAAGAACAGGGTAGGGCAATGCACAGTATTTGGGTAGACTTCCTTCCATCAGGGTCAATGTCTGTCTCCTTTTTTTTTAATTAAAGAAAAGTTCTTTTTGAGAAGTCTTATCAAGAGTTTATTCTACTTGGGAAGTGCCCCTCAGCTGGCCTTTCCTTCTCCACTCTCCATTTTGCCATCTGCAGGTGTCCTCGGGCAGTTGAGAGTAAATGATAGGAAATGATTTCAGTGGTGGGGCTGAGGTGGCTGTCGCTGCTGGTTGTGGACCCCAGACTCAGCGCACAGCATGGCCCAGCCTCAGCTTGTTTTCCTGCATTGGGAGAACTCAGCCTTGCCTCAGACTGCATCTCGTGGAGCTGGGTTATGGCTTTAAAAGGGTGAGTAAAAAATTTCAGGAACAGACTTGGTCTCAATGACAGTAACTGGTTACTTCTGAGTAAATGGGAAGCTTGGTCTCCTGATGTGTGCAGTGACAGAAACAAGAGGAATTTTCCAATACAATAGGGAAATGAATTTTCCAAGGACAGGCTAACTGAGAAAAGCCACCATCTGAATTAGGTAGCATGGCACCCTGGCAGTGGCAGGGCCGATGGGCAGGAATAGTGGCCCAGGGGACAGCAGTGCTCCCTATTATCTTCCTAGTGTGTCTTCCACTGACCAGAATGGTGGCTTCAGGAAAGCTGGGGACCTGTAGCGCTGTTTCCAGGGGGGAGAAGGGAAAGGATCTTGACCACCCCATTTTGGAAAGAGGTAGTGATGAGGAGCAGCTAGAGTCTAGATGGGTTCTTTAAAATCTGTGACAGAAATGGTGTGCACCAAGGCCTGTCTATCTGGCTGATTTCCCATGAACCCTTTATTCCTCCCTTCATCCACTCTTTCGGCACACCTCTATGTGGGACACTGTCCTATGAACTAGACAAACAAAGCCAAATTGTTTTAGTCCTTTACTTTTGTTCTCTCCAATTCCCTCCATCATCCTTCCATCACAGAAGGAACACAGTTCTCCCAGCCCCTTACCTTCTTATTACAGCAGTTTTCAAAACTCGCGGGGATAGGATGATCTAAAAAGGCCCAGGAGAAGGGATGAATCACTTTGATGTTTGAAAACCCATGGAGCAGCTGCCGAGGCCTATAATTATCCTCTGTGAACCCCTATGCGCTTATTTAATATCTCTTGGAGAAGCTCATTCTTGATTAGCAAAAAATAAAAAAAATAAATTGGTTTTGGTATGATTAATCCCCAGTGCCTGGATGCCTGGTGGAAACGAAACCTTTCCAAAGCTTTGCTGTCAGTGAGTAATTTACCTTGGTGATGTTGTTAGGGCATCAGCTCCTCTGTACTCTTGTTCCATAAGGATCTATTGTAGGAAGGGCTGAGGAATTTGAATCTCCAAAATAAAACAGAGAATAGACCTGGGATAAGAAACAGGAAATGCATCTGCTGGTCCCTCAGGTTATCTTTTTTTTAACATAAATATTTTCCTGATTTTAGAATAATATATGTTTGTGGGAGAAAATTTGGAAAAAAAAAAGACAAATCCAAAAAAGAAAATAAAAGTCGAGCCAAATCTTATTCCCCACTGACAGTACTGTTAATATTTTTATACATATTCTTCCAGTTAAAAAAATGTACACAATACTTTTTTCTTACAAGTTTACTATGTTCCATATATATTGCTTTATAATGATATGTTTTTTTTCCCTCTAATGATATGCTGGGAACATTTTCCCATGAGATTAAGCCTTCTTCTAGCACATAATTCTAATGACTGCCTAGTATTCTATCACACAGATGTTCACTCAACTAATACCATATGTGTAAACATTTAGATTATGCCTATTTTTTGCTATTATAAATAATGTAATGCACACCCTGGGGAGACTAACCCAGCCTGCTCCATTGTCCTGGTCATCAGTCACTTAATCCTTCCTCAAAAGTCACTGGCCATTTTATGGGCCAGAGAAATAGCATCACAGTTAACTTCACAACCCTTGCACAGAACACAGGACAAACTTAATTTACTCAAGTAGATTAAGCCCTGAAAATTCTCTTAATTCTGCAGAAACACCCACCAATGTAAAAAGACAGTTGTGCTCAACTCACTTATCCATAAATGCATTATTTCAGACCAAAGAGGGTCCCTTGACTGGCTCCCCTTTGGCCCTGTTCATCTTTTGGACCAGGAAGGCAAACTTACTAGCATAGCAGTGGAAGCTTGTAGTTAGCAAGATAAATCAGTAGAGGCACCTGGAAACATGCATTCTGCAGAGAATCGTACATCATTCTGAGACATCTTCCATGTCTAATATTTTCAGTATCACTGTTCTGCTCCATTAGAGTAGATAATCAGGAGGGGAATAGAATAAACATGCAGGGCTCCCAGCATACCAAGGAGTTTACCAAAACACTGTGGTTAGCCTGGGCAGAGAGGGGAAGACAGGCACTGAGCAAACTCCCTGCTGAGAATCTGGGGCAAAACCCAGGCCAGCGGTTTCCAGTTCAGCTCAACTTCAAGAAATCAAGCTGCCACTTGGGTGTGCCTTAGAGACCTCCTGTTTCCACATTGCTGGCACTTTAGCCCAGCAGGAAGCTGGAGAGGAAATGTGCTCTGAGTGGAGGGGCAGGTGCTTCTTGCCTGGGAGCTTTGTGGCTGGGTGGGGCAATCAGCAGATCACCTCGACACCATCACCCCTTTGTCCCAGTGGTCCTACCCATACCTTCATTGGATGATGAGAGGAAGAAATTCTCATTCCAAGGCAAAGCCTAGATTCTCTGGCCATCCCCTGAGGCCCTGAGGCTTCCAGAACAGGCTGGTAGAGGACAACTTAATGGAGAGAGAATGCGTTCAAGGGAAATGGCATGGGAATGCACATTATATGATGGTTGAAATGTGCAAAGTATGAGAAATTAAAAATAGGTAGGGAAGTAATTCTAGTGTGTGAGCATCCCCCCCACCTCCTACACATACACACACATTAAACAAAAGTTCAGCGAGGTTTCTGGGAGAGGAATTTGTGGTCTTCAATGCTTATGAAAAGTCCTGTAGTGAGCTTTCAAAAAAGAGGGGATGGGGAGTGGAGTGAATCACAAGATTCCCGTCAGGCGAACATGTTTGTCCCACCTCCAAATGGCCTTTCTCCCTTCTCAGCTGCTCTAATCTGTCACCAGACACCCCTGTCCAGTCTGACAGTCCCATGTCCACACACAAAGTGTCCCAGTGATTTGTGCCTTTCCCAAGCCACTGAGGGGTCTTCTGGGGGTTGGAAAGGGTTCTTCCTGGGCGGCTTCAGCCCTGGCTGATGAGCTCAGCTGTCTCCTCTTCTAGGAAAGCAGGCAGGGCTTCTAGGAAGGATTTACTGCAACAGAACAGGGCTGCCTTCCACCACCTCTTCCAGCCACCCCCCTTTCTTCCAAGCCAGAGACTGTTAGGGAAGTTTACAGAGGGGGTGCAGGGAACAGATCAACATTCCTCTCTTGGGTGACCGAGGAACTGTGCAAAGGCAGTGAGAGCCTCTCTCTGTATTGGTAACTAGACAATGGCGATGCCACTGTTAACGCCAGGGGAGAGAGCCTCACATGGCAACACCCCCATAATGGGGAGATGGGGGGATGGTGGCTGCCGGGCCCTTCTCAGGCGAGGCAGCCACCTAGCGAGGACTCGATGGGGCTTGGCTCAGTCTCCCCCCACCATACCTCTGGAAAGGCCCCTCTATGCTGAGGGTGTTGAAGACTCTGCCTCCCCACGGTCAGCATGTGGGTGGCTCATGGCAGTCTGCAGTAGCTGATGAACACACGTTTATGAATACACCCTGAGAAGTGAGTCTGTGTCGTCAGACTCTTAAGTAGAAATGGTGGAGAGACAGGAGAAATTAAAATTGGCTGGTCCTTCATAGGCAACATGGGCTAATGCCTGATAGGGCAAGGCGTGGTGCCAACATTTAGGACCCCAGGTAGATTTGTCTATACCCACAGTGAGAGCCCAGGGAAGAAATCCAGGCCCACTTTTCAGTCTTGGAGGCAATAAGGGGACCTGAGCCCCAGTTGCCTTTGACATGGACGGACCTTCAGCTGAAGACCTGAGGTCTCCAGGTTTTCTTTGCTCTGGAAACCAAATTCTGAGATAAGTGGCCCCAAACACTGAAGGGCAGGTGAATGGGAACAGCCACGCCATGCCGGCAAGTAGGGTGGAATTACAGGTATTGATATGAAGGGTGGCTAGACTGGTTTCAAGCTTGTAACCTACCCATGGAAAACTGGTCCCATTTTTTAACAGCTGTCAACTTGGCCCTACCTGAGCCTGAATGGACTGGCTGGCCAGGCAGTTTCATGACAGCAGTGGTCTCAGCTCCCTCCGTGAGCAAGCTGAAGCCTTCCTAGACCTGTAGGGCCTGACACACAGTGAGGCTCTTCACGCCTTGGAGGAACCAGCCAGAGGCCGAGGCCAGGGTGAGCTTTCAGAATCGGCATCTGGGAGGACATGCCAATCGGTTGTCCTGGGGTGATCTGTGTGGCGACAAGCAGGGGATGGATGTGAAGTGAGGACAGGGTAGGGAGAAAGGCTTTGAAATGGGGCTAACTCTGAAGCAAAAATAAGTGTCAGAGCAGCATTAACAAATACACCCACACCATGAGCACAGATCTGAATGCATATGGCAAGTGTGTGTGTGTCTTGAAGAGCTTATGAAAAAGAAAAAAACGTCCTTTCTATCCCTGTAACCATTAGAAAGAAAATGAAGTCCAAATTGCATTCAGGGCTGCTGGGACAGAGGAAGAGAAGCAAGAATGGAAAAAACAGGCCATAAAGATGCCAGGGCTGCTTAAGCAGAAACATCTGTTGAAGTCATAAGACTTGGGGCCTGGTCAGGCTTCTAACAAACCCAGGAAGAGGAGAATCTGTGCTGGATCAGGACGAACCTTGTCCGCCCCGTGCAGGGCCCCTGGGACCAGCATACGTGCAGAGGAGATACCTTCTCAAGGGCTCAGCCTGGGCCTGGCTTCCAGCAGGAGAGGAAGACAGAGGGAGGGAGTGCAGTCCCCAGGTCGGGAGGGGCCTGCAGCAGTCATGCGGGCACGTGACAGCAGTTTTGAGCGTGTATTTATTTAAAGCTTTAAACTCACTAGGGTAGCCTGGTGAGCCACGTGTCTCAACTCCTGCAGCTAAAGAACAGAAAAAATGAAGGTGGGGGAGGGGAGGGTCAGTTGCTAGCCTGCGCAGGAGCAGGGAGGCTGCGTTTGCTGCTTGCAAGAGGAGGCCACTCGTATATTTGTGATTGTCTGCCTAGGCCGGCTGTCCAAGCAAGGCCCAACCTCTTTTAACAACTACAGGAAGGGCAGCTAACACATACTGACCATTTACCACTCTCTGTTCCATGTTCCTCATAAGTGTCACCTCACTTAATCCTCCAGCAATCCTCTCATCCCCAGAATGGACAAAGACTCGCATGGCATCTTCAGTGAGGTTCTCATATGTGTACTGCCATCCTAGGAGGAACTGAAGCTTAGCCAGGTTAAGTGACTTGTCTGGCTAGCCAGGTCACCAGCCGGCACATTCTGAGGAACACCCAGGGCCTAGCCCTCTCTCTTTCTCCCAAAACTAACTGGGAAAGCAGTTTTGCAAAACGAGCCCAGCCTGCAGGAGACCCAGAGGTCCCAGCAGGCCCCTGTGGCTTGTCTGTCCCAGCACGCTGTTACATTAGTTCAGCAAAGTGGAGGAAACTATAGCGACAGAACACACCAACACAAAACAAGGGGAAGTGGGTTAGCACCCCATCCCCACAGGGACGGAATCCTATCATCTCTCAAGGAAATGCAGATGGTAAAATAAATGAAATCCAGACTCTTTACAACTTGCTTGTGGGAAATGGTCAGAGTGCCATTTATAAGGTTCCATTCTCAAGGTCAGATGCTGTTTGTGTCTCCTCTTCCTAGAAGTCTTGCTCACAACCTGGCCCTGCCAGCCCATAGTCATGCAGTTCCTTCACCCATAGCTACCAGGAGGGCACTCATGATTCTTGTTTCACATATGGGGTAACTGGAGACGAAAGGTTACACCTGTTGGTGTCAGAGTTCATGGTCAGGTGTCTATAAATCCCTCCAGAAAATCCAAAAATGAAATAGCAAGAAGGCTGGCTGGAGCCCCATCTTATGGGTAACTGCCCTGGGGAAACAAATGATATTAAAGTTCCTGGAGCAATTAGCTCTGTACTGCTAACATTTACTAGGGTTAGAGCCTACTGGTGCTGGGTCCCCGCTTCACATCAACCTTTTATGGTAGGTAACATCATCTCTGCCTGAAAGGTGAGGAAACTGAAGCTCAGAGAGGGTGCATAAGTTACCTAACGTCACACAGTTACTGAGTGACAGAACTAGAATCAGAATGCATGAGGC